GACTGGCCCGGCCAACCTGGTTGATAAAATTATAATAACCGGGCTGGTCGATAAAAATATGGTGACCCATATCACTATACCGAACATCACTAATTCTTAATTCGGTTATTTATTACAATATAAAATAAATATAAATTATAGAACAAACAGGGGAAACAACGAAACACACTCCACCCTACGTGTATGTACATTTACATAATAATTACAATATAATTTATTTGTCTACTTTAATATAATAAATGTAATACTTTAATATAATAAATGTAATACTGTAAATATCTTTGCTCCTCAGTTATTATTTGTCAATTATTATTCACAAATTTTGTATAAAAACTTGCATTTTTCACCTGAGGATTTTCTCAATTTCTTTTCATTCCTCTTCGCAATAAATTCAGCAAAAAAAATACAAATACGAAAATTTTTCACTTGTTTTCTATACAAAAGACATAAATTTACAGCAGATTAAATAAACAGTAAAAAATGTCATCAAACAACTTTATCGTCAACAGCTCTGGCTTTGGTCCAAGCAACAGCATCGATATCAATAAGAACAATAACGATAATAACTCATCGGATACGGAATCAATTTCCTCTACCGCATCAACACCAACAACATACTCGTTCACATTTCTCCCAGGAATGATTGAAATACCACGACCGGAAGCTTTTAGTCTGCCACCTACTTTTGCACTTGATATTGAGATTCCACATTTCGCGCTCCGACGTCGAAACGCAGTTGTTGAAGCGGTGTTAGAGTGTCCACTTATTTTCTAAAAGATCATACATTTACTCTCTTTTCTTAGACGTAAATAGTTTTTTTGTTGTATTTTTGGTAATCAATCTCATTGGTATAATATTTAGCTGTTACTAATTCATAGAATTAATTACCTTTCATTTGCAACTATCTTTTTTATTATACATACATAAATACATACATATATTACACACATACATAGATATCATTCGTTCATTCTATCCATTTATTCGTTTCATTCTATCCATTCATTCATTCTATCCGTTTATTGATTAATTGAACATTGCTTTATATATAAAAATAAATACATTCTCTTTTTTTTTACACCTTTCCCCCACTTAACACACACCATTTCACCTGTTAAATATTCTCATCCCCTTACATCACATTTTTGGTTAGAACAACGACAAACACCAAAAAAATTATTTTTTCATATACCCAGATAACAATGTACTTTTATTTTTTTTCATTCATTTTATGCATTCATTTCATAACAGTCTCAATTAATTATCTCATATCTCTATTGGTATCTTTTGACGTCAGTGAGTAGATAGACTCTACATATCGCTCTTGTTGTTTATCTTGAATATAAAAAAACAAACAAAAAAATAGTCAACAGAGAAAGCATGTGCTAAATCCCTAATCACTATCCATCAATTCCTTTGAATTTCATGTGGACTTATAATAAATATTCATTTGTTTTTCACCGTTACATGCTATCGTTAATTGATTTGTAGACTCGTTCTGTGATACGATTACTTGTTTTTTCCTTTATCGTTATGGTCGTTATACATACGTAACGGTAAGCTTGTGTTGCATATCGATATACGTACATGTATATCGATAATAGGTGCAAACATCTTTTAATATGTGCCAAGATACGAAAATTTCATTAATGCACAGTTTTAAAGATTGGCTTTATGCATTAATAAATTAATAAATAATTTGTAAACTCCAATAACGATAATCGAAAATATAATGTGTCATGATAAATTGCCGCAAGTACATGTATAATACATATTTTTTTCCAGCGAGAAAATATCGTAAAAATAAAAAGCATAAACTGCATTTGTAATCAACTTGGCAGCGAGCCTGGTGGGTCCGGTGATCTGTCTGAGAAACAAGCTAAATGAACGTATGCTTTAATCTATCTTGGAGCACTAATTAAAACGTCGGGGAGGCAATTTTACCTACTCTAACCCTAACGCTAAAAAATCAACCTTTAACACTGTGATAAACACGTATTACATGTCCACCAGGCTTTAGCCAAACCCTCCAAACGTAGAAATCGCAAACAATGTAGTCTGCACCAAAATAACAACGTTTTGCATTTACATTATCTTTGCTGATATGGCAATAACTGAACTGCGGCTCAAGACTTGCGAGAATGATCACGAATGATAAGAATTTAATGAACATTTTTATTAGGAGTTTATTGTGAAAAATTATATCTTCGTTATTTCATATACTAATTCTTAAAACTTATAAACATTTCTTTTATCATTAACTGAGTTAAATTGCTTGTTACATATGTGAAATATAATAATTCTCTTGATTATCAGTTTAAGACGTGATTAAATTAATTATCGTTATATAATTCTTAGTTCTAATAATCTATCCATAAAATATCTGCTTCAACGAATCACTATCAAAGAACGTTTTATTAGAATCATATTTAACACGAACTTTTTTCAAATGTCTCGAGACGATTTCCTAAACTTTTTTGAACGAATGGTTTAATGCCAGGCAAGGATTCCCACTCTTTAGTCCAATGAGGTCTGGTATAAAACATTATGGATTTTGCTAAGAACTGGTTTTGTTGTTGTCGGTGGATCTTGTCTTGTTTTATCCAAATGTCATCATTTGATAAATCAATAATGACCTTTCTTGAATGACCAATAAATAATCTCAATACTATCCGAATCAACAATTTGCAGGTTTAAGCCAGTCTTTAATTGGGGTCACAATGTCATTTATGCTTAGGTTGGTTAAAGTGGCTCGACGCGAAAAGTAACTTAATACACGATACCTAATAATCCAGTTATAATAACAACATTTATTATTACATTTAATCAATATTAAAAGTGTGCGGTAACCTAAATTTAATCGTGCAGCGTTGACTGGTGATGGATCTTTTTCATTGAAAATTTCTTTTAATTCACTATCACCAGTAACTATTTGTAGATTGATAACCAAATCAGAGACACTTGGACCTCCAGTCTTGGTACCATGAGCACCAATTGCAATAACACCAGAAGCACATCAGAAGCGGTCATCGATTCAAAAGTTGAGTGGATTATTTTTCAATAATGCATGCTCAATTGTTTTGATTTGTGTGCCTAGATATAACATCAAGGATAAATAAATGCGTTGTGAATCTGCTTATACATGCAGAATACCAACTAGTGCAGTAACAGTCCATCTGTCTTTTTTATTTATTTTCACAATCACCAAATAATCTGGTAACCGACAATGATGCCCACGAATGTCCTTGACCCCGCACATCGAATCTTGTTTTCGCGTTTTTTACAATATCTTTAAGAGAATTTGGTCTAAAAATATTGAGGTACCAAATAGTAAATGATTTTCCTGAAGTTGGAGCGAAAATACGTTTGAAGAGTGTCTGTCATTGATGTATTTCTCATGGATTTATGAATTTTGGATTCATAAGTTTCAAAAAATATCGAAACGAATAATGTAGTGAATATTAACATCACGGATCTATTTGAATAAGTCATATTTTTATATTATATAATTGAAATTAAATCCGAAAACTTTTGTAGCTTTCGATTGTAAGACGAGCATATTTATATTACTAGCGACGACAATGATAATAATGCAGTATTGGTATTAGACTGCGTTTCTTAATTGATAAATACAGGACTTACAGAACTTGTAATCATTTTTTCATTTGGTTTTTCTATAAATGCAGACTTGCAATTATTCATAAAACTCTACTACATGTATAACACTAACGCTAATGAGCGAGCCATTATACATGTAGTATAAAATATACACTAGTTCATTTATAGTAAATGTTGATGTTCGCTTTTGTATTTAAATTTGTGTTCTACAAAAAGAACGAATTCAGGATATAACGATAACTTTTTAAATTTATTACGAGTTCGTTATATAAAATATAGTAAATTCGATATGAAGATTTTTTATTAATAGTCAGTTCGTTATACATGTATTAGAGTTCGCTGTACCAATACTGTACGATAGATAACTAACAATACACGTGTTATACAGATGCTCAAAACAATGCGTACGACACAAACATATGTTGTAAATGGGGAATTGGCCCAATTTTGAATAGTGGGAGCAAATAAATCCCATTCCACAAACAGTGTTGGAAATCTGAGAATAAAAAATTTTTTAACGTTAGATTCTCAAAAGTTCACAATGAAACAAATTTTGCAAAAAATAAACATACGTATAGTCAAACCACCCTATTATATTCAATTCGACTTTCCCAACCATTAAGTGACTAATTAAAATCTACTTTTATAGTCACACCCGCAACAATCCTGTTCTTGATTCACTTGGATCTTGGGATGGGACGGTTCCTTGATGGAACTGTTTGAACTCAGTTTCTTCAGTTCCTGGTTTCAAATTTAGAACTTTTGGAAATTCAATATAGGAACTAGTTTTAAAACTGGCTTCTAAAACCGGTTTCACAATTCTGGTTCGGTTCTAGAACTAATTAGTCAATAAATTTTATTTATTATTGGCTAATATTAAAAAATTTTCGTTTCAACGGATGATCAAACTACTTTTGAGAGTATATGTGTAACAAATTTGATGATATTAACATTAATTTACAATGCAGAAAAATTGTTATTATTACGTACTTTTAATTTTCAATGGAAATAATTTGATAAGAATCCATCTTATATATTAGACTTTAATTTTGAAACTATGGTCTAAAAAACACAAGTTAATATGGTGCCGGAAATCTATACTCGACAATCACGTGATTTTGTTTCAACATTTAAAGGTGAAATCTTTTATTATAAATTTAACGAGCAAATTAAATTAGTCACAGATCTGCAGGTTTGACAACTACATATTATTCACATTTGTCCAATTGGTACGTAGTGGTAATTTCATTATCAACGGGCACAATAAATAGTAGTTTTTCAATCAGTTCGAGCACCCAATGTTTACTTTTTCAAGATAGTGAGAACCAAACCTCCTATTGAGAAATTATTCCTTTTAAAGGTCCATGAATTAGAATTTTTTAGATAATTTAGGTTCCTGCAAATGAGGAATAAATTGAAATTTTTGAACATCAAATACTTTTTTAAATTAGTTTACATCAATATCAATTTAAATTATATAATCTAAATAAATATGCATACACTCACATATTTAAGACTTAAAACTTTTAAAATACTTGTTATTTAATATAAAAAATATATTTATTTAATAAATATTCATTATCTTTTCTATATTTTAGTATAATATATACTGTCACCATTTAATATTTTGGATCACATGTAAAATATCATGTAACATATTTTGATAATTATTTATATTTTCTTTTATATTTTTTTCTATTTATAATTTTATTTTTAATTAATTATTTAATTTATCTAATTTACACATAATTTATCAAAAACACCAATCAATTCTTTTTAATATTACTTAATTT